CCAGGTTGGATATTAGGAAAAACTATTTCACTAGGAGGGTGGTGAAGCACTGGAATGGGTTACCTAGGGAAGTAGTGGAGTCTCCATCCCTAGAGGTGTTTAAGGTCCCGGCTTGACAAAGCCCTGGCTGGGTTGATTTAGATGGGATTGGTCCTCCCTAGAGCAGGGGGGCTGGACTTGATGACCTTCTGATGGCTCTTCCAGTTCTATGATAAGGGGATGGTTTGAGAACATGATCTTGGTAACTAATTGACCATTCATTATCAATGGGAAATAGGTCAACGGAGTTACTATAGAGAACTTTCTGGGTGTCTGGCTGGTGAGTCTTGCCCACATGCTCAGGGTTTAGCTGATCGCCATATTTGGGGTCGGGAAAGAATTTTCCTCCAGGGTAGATTGGCAGAGACCCTGGAGGTTTTTTGCCTTCCTCTGTAGCATGGGGCACAGATCACAGCTGGAGGATTCTCTGCATCTTGGGGTCTTCAAAGTATTTGAAGGCTTCAATATCTGAGACATAGGTGAGAGGATTATTCTAAGAGGGGTGGGTGAGATTCTGTGGCTTGCACTGTGCAGGGGGTCAGACTAGATGATCATAATGGTCCCTTCTGACCTTAAAGTCTATGAGTACTATGCACATATCCATGTCCCCATCCCTGATGGTGCAATCAGGGAAAAAGGTGCCAGCATGCATCCTCAGAAAGAGACTGGAGTTGCACAGTATGTGGGAATTGTGCGCCTTCCCCTGACCATCCTATGTTAATACTGGTGAAGTGGGCTTGGTGGTTCATGAGGGTCTGCAGCATCATGGAAAACTGCACTTTTCTGGTGATATAATTGGAGGTCCAGTGTTCGGGGGCCTGAATGGGGATGTGGGTGCCATCAATAGCCTCCGCCCACAGTTGGGGAAGCCCGTGGTGGCAAAGCTAGTGACAGTGGGGTCGACGATGACCCTGCACAGCAAGATGGTGTTGATGGCCTTCACCACCTGTGGAAGGATACAAACAGAGAAACACAGGGTTGCCAGAGCCCTCGGGAGGTCCCTGAGTCCAAGCCCCTTCCCACAGCAGGAGCAACCCCATCCTAGGCAGGGCTGAAAAACCTCCATGAGATTCCACTGCCCTCCTTCCTAGCCCCGTTCTAATGCTTCATCACCCTTCTGGAACATTAGCATGAGACTGAAACCTGCATGAGAATGGCCCCAACGGTCGATCTCTCCACGCTAACCTGGTTCCCAATGGAGCTGTCCAGCATTGGAGAGTTTCCAAATAGTGATGACAAAATGCTTCTGGAGGGGGAGAGGGAGTCACATGCAGGTGTCCCATCAGCGGAGGGCAGGGGCAAGCCACTCACACTGCTCCACATAGGGGTCCTGCATGTGGAAGTTCTGGAGCACCGCTCCATGATGATCCAGTCTGTGCACAGTGTGCAAGGAAAGGGTGGGAGCAGCTGTGATTCATGAAAAGCATGTGGAGTGGGATGAGGAGGTGTTCCAGGGTGAGCTGCTGGTCCTGGTCCCTCAGTGCCATATAGGCAGCCTGCAGTAACTGCACCAGGAGGTCCAGCATGAGGTCTAAGAGCCGGCGAGTGCTTTGCAGCAGATCCACCTTCATGGCAGAAGTGCTGTGGTGTCCACATGGGCAACCGGAGCACACAGTGAGATACGTTCACTGTCCCTCAAGGTAGGCAAAGATGAAGAGTCTGAGACCGACTATAGAGGGGAGCCCCTTTAAGCACGAGCTTCAGCTAGCCTCAAGCAGCACCTACAAGAAGTGACTGCTGTCTTGATGCCCTGCCTGGAGTGCTTCCCGGGGGGCGGGGGGAGGCTTTAAATGTGATTCAGGCTCCAATCAGTGTGGACGCGCTATGTTGACATCATTCTGTGCTATTTCAATGGGGTTTTGTAGTGTGGATGCACTATTTTGAAATAGTTATTTTTAGAGTTATTATTTCAAAATAGCTTATTTCAAAATTAGTGTAGACGTGCCCAGACACTGCTGGGGGATCTTTGACTCTTGCAAGGTGACAACTCACTTGCTTGTTGGTTGTAAGGCTCTTTTTTAGACGAAATAGTTAATTAAGATCCTCTGTAATGAAGTTTGTGAAAATGAACAACTTCTCTTACACAATTTCTTACCAAAATAAATTATGCTGACTTCCCAAGCCAATCCAGTTTCTCATTTACATAGTCATTAGTGGGTGAGTAAACATTGTATTAAAAGCTACTGTGAATCTCTGGACATTGATACAAAAAGAACTGAATAACCAATACTGTTTGAGGCAGTGAGAACTAGTGCAAGAGGGCAAAAAATTACGGGAGCTGGTTTCTAGACCCAGCTTTGCCACTAACTTTCTGTGTGATTTTTTTGGCACGTTACTTAATGTCCGTGTAACTTATCTTCCCTGGTTATGAGATGAAGGCTGATAAGACTTAGCCAAATCTAAGGATGAAAGTGATAAAAGTTCCAAGTATGACTTATTCTCCCTACTCATTAGTAGCCTGTGTGTTCAATCACCTAAGCATCATGGAAATATCATAAATTCTTATCGCTCCTGGAGTATCACACATTTTGTTGCCTGAATTGCAGAATCAGTGTATTTTAATCTTATTAGCATGTAATGTTGAATCTAACAGATGACTGATGCATAGTCACCTTTCCTTAGCTATACTATTACCTACAGGCTTATGAAGATCAATGTAAGCTAACAGTATTGAAAAATGTCACTGATGTCATAGTATAAATAGTAACAATTATCTGATATGGCAGTGTTTGGAATAATCAGCAGTTCTTGCTCTCTGTGGATCTGATCTTCTGTTCAGAATTCAGTTCTTTCGAGTGCAAGTTTCCCTTCAGGAATTAGCCAGATATATGTACACATTTTAAACTCTTTTCAGCTAGAGAAATACATTTTGCTCCACAGATCAAGACAACTTTATTTTTAAGAACAGTTAAGGAAAATACATCACAGGAAAAATAAGGTAAAGTAAAAATGTTCAACATACATATTTCTGAACCCCATTCTTCCAATTTATGACAATAATTCTGAGCAACTGCTATTGAATATTTACTTAATGTTTCCCTCACTTAAAAAAAACTACTTTACGGTAATCCCAGTATTGACTGGAAAATCAAATGTCAAAAAGAAAATGTTTTTTTTCTTACATAAAGATCAAAATATTGAAATCCATTTGATTTAAAATATCCAAAGTAATTTAGCAGTAAGATTTCAAACTATGATATATAAAGATGCATCTGCATTTTGTTTGTAACTACCAAAAGGCAACAGATTAGATCTGTCACCTAAGGCTACATCCTGACTACAAGCTTCTTTCAGAAGAAGTTTTTTTGGAAGATATCTTCCGGGAAAACTTCTTCTAAAAGAGAGAGTCCACACTTAAAAGTGCATCGAAAAAGTGATCTGCTTTTTTGAAAGCGCGTCCAGATTGAATGGATGCTTTCTTACATGTAAGCGGAGATTACTACGAACGGAATGGCCACCAGGGCACCTGGGCTTTTTCCTCTTTCCTCTTCTTCCAAAAGACCCCCCACTTCCCCTCCACACATGCCTTTTTGCGAAAGAGCTCTTTCACAAAAAGGCTTCTTCCTTGTAGAAAGAGGATTAGCAATGCCGGAAAAACCCTTCTGTTCTTTCAATTTTCTTGTGGAACAACGCAATTGCAGTGTGAACGTTCCTCAAGTTTTGTCAGAAAAACGGCCATTTTTCCGACAAAACTGTAGTGCAGATATACCCTAAGCTAATGTACATGATGTGTGCTAATTGTTTTGTAATGGGAATCAGGTGGGAGAGCACAAGGAATGGCTATTTTTTAGCATCTCAAAAATCTCACTTTTTGTGCTCTTCTCTTAGAAAGATGTTAGACGACGAATTAGTTAGAAGATGAATCCCTCTAGAACAGATCAAATGGCTGAATTGGAGTCCTACAGAATAATGAAATGTACTTTCATTGTTTAATATAACCTTCAGACTTAGCATTCTGATAAAGCAGCCAGAGTTTATTGATCTGGGATGCAAGATATTGTAATTGTTTTAATTATATTGAAATTATAGTTCAAGACTTGGGATAAAAATGAGATTTGTAACCAAACAACAGTACTCTTATGTTAGAATAAAAAGTACTCTTATGTTAGAATTACCCTGGTGTGATTGTAATATAACGACAAATAAGTGTAATAATTAAACTTTCTTCAGGCTCAATAGTCTGAAAATCTTTTCTTCTTATAATCTGTTGTAATTCATGGGTTTCATGGATTCTATTTCTCTTTTCCATACTGTTGCTTCTAGGTTGTCAAACACATTTTTTTTCATCTTCAGGGTTGACAGTTGCCATTAGAAGCAAATTCAGACTGCAAGTAAAAGGTGATACAATGCTAGACAGTGTGCCCTAAAATCTCAGATGATAAAAAGGCAATTAGTGAACCAGAGTATAAAACAAGAACAATTTAATGTCACATTCAACTAAGACATCCATAAAAAGGTTCAATGGAAATAAAGTTTCACTGGATTATCCCAAAGCAGGACAAGAAGTTTTACTTACACTATGAATATGTGACTTTGTACATTTAAAATAAAATTAGTCCATCATAAGCATAAGACTTTGTACATATAAAATTAAACCATCCATGGAAGGTTTTTTCTTTTTAACTAAAGTTTAAAAACAGACAGGGTTCAATGCTGAAATTCCTACTTAGGAAAAACTAGCATTCAAACTAGTGTGAGGTTTTTTTGAATGAGAAATGCCAGAATTGGCCCGAATATTTGTTGATAGGACCCTAACTTTACTAAACTTTTAATGAATTACATAATTACTACTATTAGCTGATCTCACGGACTTTGCCATCTGCCTGTTTTAAACATTGTTTGAATGCAACATTAACTAAATATTCAGTGTCAACACACTTCATATATGTATCTAAAATCTATTAGATGGAGCCCAAATGAAACAGATGCATAGTCACCTTAGTTTTAGTGGATTTAGAATAAAGTCCACATGCAAATTCTGCAGCTACTGATTTATCACTAACTCCTCTGAGGAGTGTGTAATGCACATGCATAGACCTAGAAGTGCGAATGCATATGTGTACTGAGTGTTCTCTTGATAAATCTTTAATTATGAGGCCACATCCAGAATTATTTGCTGGTTTTCCCCTGTGGTCATGTGTAAAAGAATCTCATACACTTGTTTTTGTAGATTGTTAAAATGTAATTTTATGTGTATACTCACCAACTAATCAATCCTTTGCGGTAGCACTGAGTTTACAAATGCCAGGTAATAACTCTTCATTTCATGTATCAAGAGAGCCGCAATTTTTTTTATTTCCAAGCCTCAGCAGTGCATTCAGCAGACAAATTAGTGCAAATCTAAGTGCTTCTATCTTGGCAACTGCATAATTGCCTATCTGCATAATCCTATCAATTACAGTAAATGTTTTTCTGTGCAATAAACAAGTTGAAAATGGATCTTAAATTATTATTTGGACAAATGTGGCATGGCAATGATTTGTATGGTTGTTTCCTTTCATGTTCTCATCAAGGGAAAGTGATGTAAGGATAGCACATTTCAGAAGGTGATTCTTCTTTTCCTCCAACAAACTAAAGGACTGTACTCTACGGGTACCCAGAAGCCTCCTGCTACGGGACAAGCCCAAGAAAGAAACCAACAGAACACCATTGGCCATCACCTACAGTCCCCAGCTAAAACCTCTCCAACGCATCATTAGTGAGTCTATAAGGTGCCACAGGACTCCTCGTCGCTTTTGCAGATTCAGACTAACACGGCTACCCCTCTGATACTCTACGGGTGTGTCTAAACTACATGGTTCTGTCAACGGAGCCATATAGATGAGGCTGATCGGCAGAGGGAAATGCAGCCGCGATTTAAATAATCGCGGTTTCATTTAAATTTAAATGGCTGCCACACTCTGCTGACCAGCTGATGATCAGCTGTTTGTCGGCAGATAGGGGCAGTTTAGACGCTTCCCCATCGACATGAAAGTCCTTTCTCAACCTCCCTGGTAAACCTCATCCCACAAGGCATAAGGGGTAGGTCGACAAAGGGCTTTCATGTCGACGGGCAGCTGATCATCAGCTGGTCGGCAGAGCGCGGCAGCCATTTAAATTTAAATAAAGCCACAATTATTTAAATCGCGGCTTCATTTCCCTCTGCCGATCAGCCTCATCTACATGGCTGTCGACGAAGCCATGTAGTTTAGACACATCCTACATGTCTATCAGGGATGGTCTAGACAGTATTTGGTCCTGTCATGAGGGCAAGGGACTGGACTCGATGACCTCTCGAGGTCCCTTGCAGTCCTAGTATTCTATGATTCTATGGAAATAAAATATTCATTATTGAAAACAGCTGCAGAAGATTATAGTCTCAAATGTTTCCATACTTGAAGCTATTCTTTATTGTACTTAAGTTGCATATAATGCAGAACAATAACCCATGTCAGCAGTTATAGTAGGCTTTTAATTATTTATGTATCTACTGTAGTCAATAAACAATACATACAGTTCAAAAAGGGTGCGGTTATCTCTAATACGTGGAAGCAAAGAAAGATTAGGTATGATGTAATAATTCAGGAATGTATGTGATTATGTGAACATCTAACCTACAGGATTTATCAAAACACTGTAGGCTGCTTTTGCAGAAAAACTTGCCAGCTGTCTACACTGGCCGCTTGAATTTCCACAAGAACACTGACTTCCTACTGTAAGAAATCAGTGCATCTTGCAGAAATACTATGCTGCTCCTGTTCAGGCAAAAGCCTTCTTGTGCAAATCATTTGCGCAAGAGGGCCAGTGTAGACAGCACAGTACTGTTTTGCGCAAAAAAGCCCCGATGGCTAAAATGGCGATCGGGGTTTTTTTGCGCAAAAGTGCGTCGAGATTGGCCAATCCGTGCCAATCTAGACGCTCTTTTCCGCAAATTCTTTTAACGGAAAAGTTTTCCATTAAAAGCATTTGCGGAAAATCATGCCAGTCTAGACGAAGCCTGTAGTGTTTGCATGTAGCTGATTGTTTAGCTACTAGCATTGCACATGTGTTTAAAATGGCACTAGGATCAGCACTAGAACTACTGTGTATTGAGGCAGAGAACAGATGATTCCATACATGGGAATAACAGAAGCTTTCTCTTGCCATTGAGAAATGATCACTATAATTCAGCTGCTTTGAAGAAAGAAAACAATAGGGTAGTAAGAATATAGGTGGAATAGTGAAATATGCTACTCGATATGCTGTTGGGCACCATCATTTAGAACAGATGATGGGCCTTATTCTGATTTTCACACTAGCATAAATCGGGAGTAAGTTTGCGGAGATATGCGAATATACAGTAGAGCCCCAGTCTTCCTCTAAATTTCTCAAGAGTATGAACATACTTTCATCTGGGCAGTATAAAAGGTTACAATTCCTGAGAATCACTCCTTTTGAAAGTTTTTCTACCTCTGCATTCTAAATAGCTGCATTCTGAAATAATTGATGGCTACATCAAATCCCCTATTTTAATCTTGTAATTTTAAGAACAATTAAGGAAGATGAGCAGATTTCATTAAAAAAATGGAAGGAAGGGAAACTTTTTTTGTATTGTTTGTTTTTGAATAACAATATATATATAAATATATTGATAAAATGAGTCTAGATAAATTATTCAGAAGAAAAACAAAATATCAAAGCAAAAATAGCATTACAAAATCATGGGGGGGAGGAATCAGAATCAATTTATAATACTGTAAAATGTTTTCAATAAGCAAATTGAAAGGA